CCGCCGCCGCCGCCGCCGCCTGCCGTCCTGGGCATCCCTGCCGCCCTTCTGGGACCCTGCGGAGATTAGCGGGGCTTGGGGGGTTTGCAGGATCCGGTGCCCCGGTGGCTTAACTGCGCTTGGAGATCACGAGTGGCTTCGGCCTGTGCTTATGTATTTATTGATTAGTTTAATGTCGTCTTGTAGCTGCTCTCTGGATCGTGAGATTTCAGCACGGGTGTTGGCATATGTCTTCCTTTCTGTCTGTAATGAATAGAAACTTTTCACCTGAAAAAAACCCAGCAACAGCAAAGAGAACGTTATTTGAGCTCTTCATGTGATCTCTCATTTGCAAGAAGTGGGACTTTATGGGAGACATCAGACTTGCAACCACATTATGCGAGCTTGTTTTATTTCCTGCTGTTGCTGTTTGCTAGACTGCCTTTTAATGTCTGGGTAGTCGAGGTCTCTGCTCACATTTTCGGTATTGTTCATGCAGGTATCACAGTGTTGCATTTGCACTGAAGCTCCCCTGTGCAGTTGGATTAATAAAGACAAGGTGATAAGATTGTTTTGTCCGAGTTGCTACATTGCTGTCTCCAGCATCAGGGATACTAGCTCAGTACATTGGAGTAAATGAAACTGACTTCACCTTTGGTTGCATCAGCCCTCCAGGGACTGCAATTATAAACTCCCATTCATGCCCTGTTGTGCCTCCTTGTGACTTGTGCTACCTGCATGAGCAAGATTTACTCTAATGTAATTGGCCATGCCAGTACTCCTTCTTTTGAAATAGAGGCATACATAAAAGGGCTAGTTAGCCAGATCTAAAAATGCTTCCTTCTTAATTTGCCCTGGGAATATTTGTTCCTGGGCAATAGGCTGTTGAGAAACAAATTCAGATTCTCACTTAAGATTATGTTGGAAGTCTCAAGATTTTACATCTAAACCAACAAGGAAACGTAATGTACTTTTCTGTGTATTTTTGTTAGTACGTCTATAAAAGATGTATCATTCAGCTACATTATACATATGTGAGGTATGTAGGGATTACACATATGCAAATATGGTTGTTTTTTAACATCCTAGCTAACCTGGTAACCCTATGAAAGCAAGCACAGAAACTAGTCAGAAGGCAAGTCTTCACAATACTTATGCTCCTTTTTACTTATTTTGGTATATATTTATCTTTGTGTTTATATCCTTATCCGCAGGCAGAGCTTGGCCTTAATGAGCACCACCAGAATGAAGTGATCAATTACATGCGCTTTGCTCGTTTCAAGCGTGGTCTGTGTCTCAGAACAGTGGATTCTTGTTTTCAGGACCTTAAGGACAGCAGGTACTGTGGTGGGGGGTGGTGTCTGAGCAAAAATAAAGCAAATATGCTAGCAACAATTGCAGGTTTAAATGCTTTATGGGGTGACTTTTCTCCATTTACATTTGTATGTTCTTAGTGAGGAAGAAAGACCCAATAGTTTTCCAAATGTTACAAGTCAAGTCCTTTTAAAACTAAGTTGTTCAAATTCTTAGGAATTAACATAGATATCGACAGCATGACATTGCTTTATATCTAGCTTCTGATGTCTAAATTTGATGCAAGACTGTAGTGGAAGTAATATTTGTGATCATAATGTTTCCGAGGGAAAATTTAAATACCATATGCAATTAGTAGTGCCGTGGCCATCTAATAACTACTGACAGTGGATGTTTTCAGAAGGACACTGCATTATACAAGAGTGATACCCGGGTTGTGAGGTCTCATAGCAATGCAAAATTGTTACCTTTATCATACATGACTCATCTTGACTGCTCTGTTTAGACTGGTTGAGGAGACCTTCACAGTTGATGAGGTGACAGACATGCTGGATGGACTGCGGACTGTTGTACACAGTGAAGTGGAGTCAGAGCTCATAAATACAACTTACACCAACGTTTTACTTCTGCGGCAGCTCTTTTCGCAGGCTGAGAAATGGTACCTTAAGTTACAGACAGACGTCTCCGAATTGGAGAATCGGTAACATATATTGGACTATACAGAATGCCTTTCAATAATAAGAAAACTTCAGTGTTGAATATTTGCATTCTTTTCCTAACCATAGAAGTATGTTCTTTTACTATTGTATCGATGATAGGTTAGTTTCAAGTCTTCCATCTATAAAGTAGCAAGATACACAATAATTTCAAATTTATCAGGAAGATGGTTTTTTTTGTAATATCCTTACTTGAATTAATCAGTTAAGAGCAGGTGATAGGATTTGATTAAAAAGCCTTTGTTGTCTGAGTAGATTATATTTTAATCAAGGGTGCTAAATCTTACAGTTCTAATGCATATACCATACCATTGCATGACGTGATCTGTTGCATTTATTGTATTTGCATAGGACTTCATTCTGCACTTCTAATGAGAATCTTACATGCAGTAAAGAGCATAGCATCAGCCTGGTAAAATGTGTTTCATAGCATAGCTATTTTAGTAAATAAATGCCTCCCTTTATTTTCCTTTTCAAGAGAATTGTTGGAACAGGTTGCTGAGTTTGAAAAATCAGAATTTACGTCTTCGAGCAAGAAGGTAGAGTTTTATTTTAATCAAATCATAATCAAATGTCATGTGGAGTCATGACAGGTGTTTAAATACTTAGTATTCTTTGTGCTTAAGAGAGAAAAACAAAACAAAAACAAAACCCCCACCCTTTTTCAAAGCAATCTTTGAAAGTCTCCAAAAAGTAGCATTTTGCAGTTCAGCACCAAGGCTCACACTGAATTGCCTTGGCTGTTTCCAGATTGCAGATTCTGCACACCTGGGGCATGCCTCATAATCCTCATCCCAAAGTCAGCCAGACCAGGGATGTGTTGGAGCATCTGCTCCTGGGTTTCCTTCCCCCTGGAAACCGGGGTAAGACTGGCACGTTTGCTTGTCCCAGGGCTTTGTCCCAACACAGAGTCAAGAGCTGAGAAGATTCCACAATACAGACATGACTCTAGCTTATCTTGTATGATTATGGTTGCACCTTATTTGGTTTGTAGCATAAATATATATTTAGTTAATATATACTATATTTGAATACGTAAAATAAGAAAATTATTTTGAGCTGTGTAAATATTTTTTACTCTTACAATCACTCAAATTTTTTTTCTTTTTTCCTTACTTTTTTGTCTTTTGGTTGCTGCAGCATTGGTAGTCTTTTGTAAATTCATGTTTGCAATCCTTTTATGTCTCTGTGAAGTATTTTTGTTTAACTTCAGCTGAAAGTGAAGTATATAACTTGAGGAGCCAAGGTACCAGTAAAAAATGAACTTGAAATAAAAGGTCATTCATTTGCTTTACAAAAGAAAGCTGAACTGACTGTCAGTAGTTATTTTACAAACTAAAGGAATACTTCTCTTCTTCCTGGAAATCTGTATAATTTAATTTTTTAACCTTTATTATTTCTTTAGCCCAGTACAGATCTCATTAAACCAAAACTGGCTCCATTAAATGAAGGTGGGTCAGAGCTGCTTAACAAGGTAAGAACTTGTCTGTTCATGCAGTTGTGGTTAATGACCATTCTGCTTGTTCAACTGAACTGGATAGCTGTACAGTAATATTTGTATAATGTGCCTGTCACAATGTAGATGTCAAGGTAATATACCCCAGGATGTAAAGTAAAATGCTAATAAATTAATAAACATTGTGAAGCATCTTAAATTTGCGTTACATGCGGTTACGGTCTCTAATGTGTTGCAATATTGACCTTCCTTTTGCAAAGATATTTTGGCCTTTGTAACTATTTATTTTTCCATTTAGTGAGGTAAATTAGTAGAAACCAGTATTCAGTTTGTTCTATGCAGCTGGCTGGCTTTCCAGCAAGGAAGTAAATTAAAATATGTAGCTGGCTGAAACGATTAGGTTATCAAACATTTTCTGCATCACTTGAAGTCAATCCTATTACATTCAGTCTTTTTTCTTTTGTTAGTCGAGTAATTCCTCATAAAGAAACAGACACATAAAGAATTTGGAATTTAGGAGTTTTGAAAACGTCTGATTTCCCACTTGCTAAAGATTTTCAGAATTACAAAACACATTCTAGTATTTGATGTTATTGATAGTTTTTATTATGTATTGAACTTGTTTAGTTCAACTGAACTTTTTTAAAATGCTACACTTCTTACAATACACTTTAAAGTTATGGGCAGTCAAGAAATTTAGCAAGGAGTTGTGTTTTGTGTCTTCTAGCCTGCGTTACCAAAATGATCTGTCAAGTACAGTGTCTGAATCAAATTGTTGTTACCCATTAAGATAATTAAAGCATTCAGGAATTCAGACTTGTATTTACTTATAGATCAATGTAGTTCTCTTTCAAAAGTAATTTCAAAATCTGTTTTATAACAGTTTTTGTTGAATATGTGCATCTGATGTCTTTTTTTTTTTCTCAAGAATAATTAAAAGTTTAAATGGTGAATTTAGTCTGACTGATAAAGCATGCTTATTTCCTGTGACACAAAACATGATATGCAGTAACCTGGTATTTGCCTCTTAAACAGGAACTATGAATAAATTCTTACTTTCCTGTTGATTGAAAATACAAATGATGAGCAGCAATAAGATTTACATCTCTGAACATGCGGTTTTCTTTATCATGAATCCTGATACTAACAAGATGCTGAGCTCACTAGTCTCAGTTCAGTAAAGCATGTGCCAAATTTAAATGAATGGTCCTATATATTACGTAGAATCTG